TGCAACTCAGTCTGTTCCGTTCTAAAAATGACTCTGGGTCAAACACACACACACACACACAAATGCAAACACACTCACACACAGATTTACACACCTGTTGCCTAGCAACAAGAATGCTCTCTTGATCAAATGATGGCAGGGAAATGAGAGGGATGGTAGAGTGGGAGATACAGATAAGCCGTAGTCAAAGAGAGAGAGAGTCCAGTGGCCCATAGGTGTGCTGTTTGGAGGGTTGCAAACTTAAGCAGAAGACTGTAAATACTAATCTACTGGAATTACTGTTTTAATGAATGCAATAGTAAAGTTCAGGCTGACGCAGATTAAGTAGAAGTTATGGCCAATAATCACATATCAATTTAGCCTAGGCGAATTATAACGCTAGAAAGACAGCATCCATGCTTTCGATATGGAACTAGGCAAAGCTAGACAGACTTTCTTCTCGAATATTATAAACAGCAACTTAAACACGCGCATTCTTTTTGCTATTGTATAGAGAGACACAAACCACCCAAGCTTTTATATCTGATAAAACTAAACTAATAAGCTGATACATGCCAAAGTCAAAGTGTTCCTACTATTTCAGGAACAAAACTTTTAGTTTTGGTCCTCTAACACCTCAGTTTGCACCCACTGTACGCAATTTGGGTGTTATTTTTGACAAAAATTTGCAGTATGACAAACAGATTAGTGCTGTTGTCAGGGCGAGCTTTTACCAGCTAAGGCTTCTCAGTAAGGTCAAACCATTCTTGTCCCGAGCTGACTTTGAAAAAATCATTCATGCCTTTATCAGCTCGAGGATAGACTACTGTAATGCCCTCTACACTGGACTTAATCAATCATCTCTTAATCGGCTTCAACTGGTTCAGAACGCGGCAGCACGTCTACTCACCAACACCTCCAAACGCTCGCACATCACCCCTGTCCTCCGCTCGCTCCACTGGCTCCCGATACGGTTTAGGGTGGAGTATAAGATCCTACTGTTTGTGTTCAAGGCTATTAATGGTCTGGCCCCGGTCTACCTCGCCGATTTAGTAACAGTTTATCAACCACCCAGAACTTTGCGCTCATCTGAACAGATCTATCTGGTCATTCCCAAATTTAAATATAAAAAGTTTGGAGGCCGGTCATTTGCTGTCCAGGGCCCTAAACTGTGGAACGCTTTACCAACATTCCTAAGAAGCATCACTGTGCTGGGTGCTTTTAAATCACAGTTAAAAACATATCTGTTCAGACAAGCTTTTAACATGTAATCTTCAACTCTGGCTTATTTTTGTGTTTTGTTTTGTTCTTCCCCTTTTTTTCTGTTGTCTATTGATGCTTTTACTGGAAAGCGCCTTGTGCACCTTTTGGCTGTTGTAAGGCGCTATACAAATAAAATTTGATTGATTGATTGATTGAAAACACTAAAACATGAGACAAAATACATCCCACTTTGGGGTTAACACAGCACAGGATGATTCTGTATTATATAGGTTGGCAAACCCAGCTGACAGTCACAGAGTCCTAGTCTGAAATCATTAAAGACCTTGCCTGCCTACATAGCCATCCGCTCCATGCTGTCTTAGAGAGAGGTCAGCATGATTCTGACACATCACAGCACACACTCAAACTTCTCGCTAGACAACAACACACAGCAGAACAAATACGAGATACGACTTTACTGTGGTTTTAAATGGCCACAGCTGCACTTCTCCAGCTCAATTCCCTATTATTGTCATTATCACAAACGGCATCAGCTTTTTTATTTTCTTCCTAAACATTGAGATCAAATCCAAGTATGGGAAATGTTATTTACAAGATCAAGATGGTTTTGGCTCAGACCCGGATTGATATTCGGATACAGAATGTTTCCAATAAGGCAAAAGGGTGCAAAGGAAAATGGGATTTCAAAGCCATACAAACACAGATTGGAACCTCAAAGCAATTTGTTTCTTAGATGACGTGAAGGATATCAAAGAGGACAAGCTCTGCTGACAGAAAGCGAGGTGAAAACAGAGGTCTTTGATACCAAAGCCTAAACCTGGATTACGGCTTCAAAAAGCCTGTTTCAGGACCTTAATGCTTTTTCCAACAAGAGAGGATAAACAAATTTCGATCATACACTGATAGTAATGGGGGACGTGGTAACTTTTCTCTCATTTTTAATTGACAAGTTATGCCAGAATCACCTAAAGAAAAAACTAAACCTCCTCAGGATTCCAGAGTTCCTGACTGAAATTGTGAATAAATTACGGTATTTATCAAATACCTACTAAACAAATGTCCCTAAATTATCTAAAAAAATATATATATACTGTAGCTGTATAAGATCTTTCAAGTTTAATTATCCGTCCACATGGTGGTGGCATATGGCAATTAGCATGCACTTGTTTTAATAAGGCAAGGCATGGATCATGCTGGTATTTGTATTCTTATTTGTGTGCCTAGAAAGGGAACACAACTTCTCTAGAAAGGGAAACTGAACAACAGAGGCATAATTATAAACGCACTAATGCACATAGATAAATACACAATCCTCGGCTCTTTCCCAGGTGTGCTCATGTTCTTTCACACACAAAAGAGGCTACAAATTCATATCAATGGGCTTTATGCCCAGCTGCACTACTTCCTGAACTTCAGCCAGCTCCTTGTTTCCTGTCTGCCATTATTGGCCAAATTGATTAATTCAGGTGTACCTGACCTCAGTAGTCATGGCAACAATAATCAGACACACCTGAATTAATCAATTTGGCCAATAATGGCAGACAGGAAACAAGGAGCTGGCTGAAGTTCAGGAAGTAGTGCAGCTGGGCATAAAGCCAATTGTACATGATAGCAAACCTACCTTGTCTAAGCAAGTAGTGTTACTCTTTTACATGCAAAGACATTAGTCAATCAAAGCAGAGGTCATTACCTCTTAAAGGTACAGTAACAAGTCTTGCAGTAGCAAAATCCTGTAATTATTATGTAAATAATATCATGTCATTTCAAACTCATATGACTTAATATCTTCTAGCAAACACAGAATGTAGCCACCCCTTTTAAAATGGAAGTGAATGAGGACAAAATGACAAAGTCTTCTGAATTTTTACTCGTTATGTATGTAATTTTTACTCAGAAAGATGAGTAGATTTTCATCTTAAGGTGGATAATTACAATTTTTTTATTAGTTATTATTATTATTAATATTAATAATAATAACAACATTGTGATGCCTAATAATCCTAATAATTATTTATTATTATTAATTGTGAAAAAAGGCCAGACAGTGGAAGTAAAAGTGTGTCAAAAAGAGAATAGATAATGCTCATTAACAAAAAAGATTTTGGTGCAAGGAATGCTGACAAACATTATAAGCAGAGCTAGAAAAAAATAAATTAACATTTTCATGATATGGCCAATTTAATATGTCTCAATATTATTTTTTAATGACTAACGTCTAGCCCACACCTCACAAGCTAATTTCAAACGCTCAGCTGCTCTAAGTAAATGAGAAGAGAGATCATTTCTGGTATTGGTTAGAAAACCACATGTTCTTCTAACACAAGATCTCTCTTCTGCACATGAATCAAAGGTTTTGCTGATGATTTTAACATGGACCCACAGACAGAACTGAACTGATCTGTCCCGGCCTGAAAGCGGCTCAGCTGGAGGAATACGTCTTAGCAGAAGTGAATCCCTGTGAATAAACACCTTTCCTCTGGGTCTCAAACTGGATAAACTGTCACCTGAACACATAAGCTGGAGAGGAGGGAGAATGTGTGAGAGAGACTTTTCTCTGCAGTGTAAGTCTTTGTATCACAATATGGCATGACTGATTCCTTCAATTGGAACTGGTATATCTGGAGCACTCCAGAGGCGCCGGTTATGAGACATTTATTACAACCGCAGTGATTGTACTAAAGATAACAGCATTTGAGATTATACAGATAATCGTGCTCTGATGGGAAGCAGCAGAAAGATGAAGGGAGGAGCCAAACTTTGCTTTCCCCAATTACAGTCTGGTGTCTTTCTACACACTCCTGCTCTCACTGAGGTTTGTGAAACAAACAATTTAGTCTGAGAAACTACAGTACAACAGCCGAACACTATCACATACACTAGTAGTGAAAATACAGTGATGTGGGTAAGAAATATTATCTTGTTTTCCCATAGAAAAAAAATCTAATTTTAAACATCCTTAAAATTAGACCAATTTGCTTAGTCAATGACATGATGCTATTTTTGAAAAAATTCTAAAATACATTCAAATGCAATTCATGCACACAATAAATTGAATTTTTTATGTATCAAGGATTTAGATATAACGGATTTGAAAAGAAAACTTTAAGTACTTAGTGTTATTCTTTAAATAACATTACAGACATGAGTCACATGGCCATGTGTCAAGGTCAACAATTCCCTTAAAATATTTAATATTTGGATCTTTTATAAGGCAGTTTAATCCAGACTGTAAAATGACATGTGGTGTGATGTATGCAAAAATGTCAAATTAATGAATCATATTAATGAATTCTGATAATTGTAAACATGTTTTTTCTTGAAAAATATAAGTGGAAACTTTTCTAGGAAAAAAATACTTTTTTTATTTTCCTGGATACGCCTATTGTCATTGACCATAGATGTAAAACGGCATAAAATATTATGACTTGTTTTCAGAGAATATGCCTGCAATTATGCTTATTTTTCTTACCCCATTGTCAAATTTAGTATAAACTAACAATTTTAAGTATGGTTCATACATGACTAATTTGACAACTGGGTAAGGAAAATAACCATAATTAAGGGCACAACCTCTGAAAATAAGTCTTAAAATATTACACAATTTTACTTCAAGTTTTAAGGAAATTTAGACTTTCTTTTGTAATAAGAAAAAACTTGCCTGGGTGATGCAAGTTGACTAGTACAGTTTATCTAATGCTGGATATAGAGCTGGATAAACCAGTGCAGTCTTCAACAACCTGCACCCAATCCGGTTCTTTTTTAGGGAATCCTTTGAAGGAATTGGAAACACTTCTTACCTTTCTCCAGTGTGGTGATGCCCATGGAGGCCTGCCCCAGTCCCGTCTTCCTCTCCCACTTGCCCTCATCAGGATGATATACTTCCACAGAGGCCAGTGGGCTCTGCTGCGCATCCATGCCTCCCATGACCATCAGCTGGTCTCCGACGGGCACGGCGGATGCCCCGGCCCGAGCGGTGGGGAGAGGGGGCAGCTCGCACCAGCGCTGGCTCTCCAGATCCAGCACCTCGGCGGAGTCCAAAGGGAGGCCGTTCTCGCTGCAGCCCCCCAGTACATAGAGGCGCCCGGCCCAGAGCACGGGCGTGCAGTACACCCGCTGCGTGGCCATGGAGGGGAACACCTCCCAGTACAGAGACTTCACCGTGCTCAAAGCCATTTCGGGGATGGGCATGGCTCCAGGACGGCACGCCGGCAACAGAGCATGACACAGGCACAGAGGGGAGGGCAGAGGAACGTGAAAATCAAGGCAAATGCATCAACAAAACACAAGGCTAGAGAGCAGGAGAGGCTGCAACTGTCAGTCTGCCAGAGACCTCAGTTCTAGCTCTCGCTCGCTCGGGAGCCGGCAGGTGGGGGGAAGAGGGTTTCCTTCAGCGCTGTCTGTGAAGATCTAGCCCTCACTCCATCTGGATGATTTATTCATTTTTGATGCTGCTCTTAAAAGGTGCATCAGGCCCCTTTAAGCCTTTCCCGTTGTCTTCCAGGAGACGCACAGTCGTAAAAGATATGGTAAGAATGTGTAACTCCGACAAGAAATAAACTAATTTATCCACGTGGAACGTCAAGCGGGATCCCTTTCTGTAGTCCTGCCAAACGCGTCGGCGCGACCCTCATGTCTGACGCTGTAAGGAAGAGGAAAAGAGAGACAGTAACAGTGCAAGCGCAAGATAAAAGACAATGTAATCAAATGAGTTCAATTTCATTGGTGAAAGACATACATCATTTGTTGTCACCTTCTATATATTAATTTATTCCGAACTACATCAAAAATGACATGAATAAATCTTTTCCACGATGAGTATGTTTTCATTTCTATATTAAAATCCAGTTTGATATTTGTGGGGTCAAATTTTTGGAGTCAAATAAAGTGAAGGTGATACAATTATGAAAAAATTATGAATTAAAAGAACGAATACCTTATTTTAATTTTTTCATTGGGAATTTTTTTTTACAGGGGTGATGAACTGAGAAATAAAATTTTCCTCGAGCTTTTGAGATCTAAGAGGTCATCATATTATAAGAATATCCTGTAAGTTTGAGAACTGAAAACGTCCTTGTTAGTCCAATAAAAGCTTTTATTGACACCAGGCTCAGCAAACGACTCGTTTTTCAAAGTGGGGAACTATGACGTCAAAGCCCCGCCCACCGATTTGCGCATTACACGCATAGCTAAATAACATAGATGCCTACCTCATGATGACAAACCAGATTGAGCTACCAAGCAATAAACATGTCATTTACAAAATAGTGTGCAGTGCCTGGTTGTGGAAGAAGACAGTCGCTGCATAAGTGAGTTGAAACTCATTATAATATGCAAAACTGTTATCCACTCACAGTGGGCGTTTACTTCCAAGTCTTCAATGCGAGACGCCCATAAAAACCGAACGTTTTTGAGCTAGGCTCAAAACTAGGGTAGAAAATAGCCTATTACTTATTTAATTTGATGTTTTTGAATGTAAAAACCAAGCGAACGTCATAAGTTGACCTCACACAGCAATATAATACAAATTTAAAAAGCCAGCTCATGACCCCTTTAAATAAACTGCTTAAGCATTAATGATATTTAAAAACTTTTGTCTGTCAAGTCATGTTTTTAAACTAAAAACAAAACAGGACATGCCATCAGAGGGAGGACAATATAATCCAAAATAAAATTCCCAGATTGCGGATGGAGGCAAGCTGCCGGTGGCGATTGTGGGCCGATCTGATCTGCTCTTACACTTATTTAAATAAACTGTATAATTCAATGGCCAGAGCGCTGACATTTACCATTCACTATTTACTGCCAGGGGCACAAAGGTAGACGTGTGTGTGAGAAGTTGGGCTACAAAGCAGCAGTCGGCCCTCTCCAAAGGTCACTGCGTCTGCGGGGACCAATGGCCCAGGAAAGTCACTGAACCTGTGTAATTTGGACTTGAGCATCAATAATTAAATACTTCATAATGGCGAGATGTGTGAATAAATATGACCTTAATGCTAGAGAGAAAGAGGAGCACTAGAAAGGTTACAGACATTATATGCAAAAACTTACTAGGTGCATGTGTGGGAGACAGCAGGATCTCTTGGGCATCTTTTGGGTGACAGCATAAGTAAAGATGACAAAAAACAGAGGAAAGCAGATCTTTAAATGGCAGCGAATCGGTTGTGTAATTAAGATGCTGTGGATGTGGAGCCCAAGCCGCATGCTACAACACACAGTGTGTTAACGACTTCAGACAAGACTGAGAATTATGCAGGAAACACATCAGTTTCATCTGGAGCCGCTAGGCACTCCGACTGAGTACAATCAGCCCAGATCATATGACACCATCAGGCTCTTCTTTGGGTTTAGAAGGAGCAGTTTTTGTAACTAAAATTAATCCTTCTCTTGGCTTTTCGTTAGACTTTACTCCATGATGACGTGAGGAACATGGGAAAAATCCCAGTTGATCTCCCTTGCTGTAGAGTTTATTTCACATAGAAGGAAGAGTCTTGTGGCAATTTTGGTAGATGATGATGTCACTGGGATATGCTGTCCAGTGGATCCATGGGATAAAATTGCCTAGAAAACACAGAGGAAGTATAACAATCTAAGTACTGGAGGGTACTTGAGAGAGGGAATGATGGAGGGAGCAAAAAAAAGGGAAGAGAGCCAAGAAGAAGAGAAACAGATGTTTATGTTGTGTTCTAGGAAGGACTCCTATCTATATTTAGGCCAAAACATCACGTGTTGCATTAAGAGTTGCATATTGAAGCTATGAATGCAGATGTCAACAAAACTATAACCATATAAGGCAGTGTTTTTAGCACTAAAAAAAACCTTGCACAATAGAAAAAACACAAACTATGCCAAGCCTAAGCATCTTTTTCCTCCCTATTGAGTGAATTCAATGCCATTATGTTTTAAAAAACCTTTTTGGACCTGGCGGTAATGGTGTCCTAACCTACGAAATTGATTTTCTATGAAGTGTCTGCTCACAGGGAGAAATTTCTACACTCTCTCCATACTAACTTAAGGCTGCATCAGAACCAGACCAGAGTATTTTAAGGTTAATTCTGTATTCTACCGAGGAAGGTAAAAGCTATTTTTTTACAATGCCTGTAACAATGTCAAGTGGCAACTATGAGAGACCCTGAGACAGCTACAGTCTTCATTTCTGCACATTTCTCAATTTCACACAGTTAGGCTCTTAAATCCTCACAGCACAGAGCAAAACTGGATGCACAGACAGCTGCTAAAGTTTTATAAAAGCCAAAAAAAGGCTTTTTTAGAAGCTTCAAAATGTAACTTCAGTAACCACATTTAATGAAAATAAGAGTCACAGTTATAGATGCACAGTTATGCTGCAAAAATCGGTCACGTATAAAGTCCAAAACCCATCAAAAAACTATAATGTGACAAAATCATTTTCTAAAAAAGTTCTATTTTATATGGTTTTCTATTTCTTAAAGCAAACTGTCAATGTAATTTGTCAATGGAGTAAAGAATAAACTTAATTCATTATTTTTATAAATCAAGTCTTAATATCCTATACAAATTATGCTCTATGTAAATTAGTCTTGTTTTGAGTTTACATATTTTTAATGTAAAAAAAAAACTAATTGAGAAAAAGAGGTTTGCAATAGGACTATTAGCATTTATTTGACAAGTTCAAAATGAGTCCCCGTGATTAAAGCCAGCAAAGACAAGAGTTTCAGCACAGACATATAGATAGACAGACAAGACAGATGACAGTGATTTATGCAGTAGAGAAGCTGTTGGGAATCCCATGGAAATATTTTAATTCATTAAGATGCTTTATTAATAGGATGAATTATAATTGCTAAACAGGAAGGGAGTCAAACTGTAAGATGGAAACCCTGAACACCACAACACGGGAGTGAAAAAGCTGGATTGGCCTTGGGCACAGCTGACAGTTCTCCAGAAACATGCTGTTGGATGAATCAAGTATTCTGTACAAAGAGTTCTTGGTTTCAGCAAAGGCTCTATGACAGTTTGGTAAGACTTCCGGCTCCATCTTGAAAAGACACAGAGGAATTATTCCCTCTTAAAGATGGGTTCAAGTCCGCGCCTGAGCTCCAGATAACATTTAGAAGGCTGATCAGCCTTAATCCCTCAACTTCATAATTGATCCAGGCTCAAAGAGCACACTTCTTTTTTATCTGTTCCCATCAACCTCTCACAGTCTGAATTGTTCATGCCTGCTATTTCTAATGTTCTGTCCAACCAAATGTACATGTAAAGAGCGCTGTTTCCTTAATTAAATTCTCCACCATCCTCTCCTGCCTCACGTCAGCCTCTCTCTTCTAGCAACCATTGATAGTCACCGATCACAAGAGCCCCCGCATTTCTCAGGCGTTTAGCCTTTGGCATAAAAACATAATTACTTCTGCAGAAGAGTTTCCAGCGAAAGGGAGTTAAGCCGGTTGGGGCCTTGGAGAACATGCAAGCAAGGTGTGTTCTTCAAAGCAACACAAAAACACTGAGACTCACGCTTAAAGGCATGAAATCATTCTCAATAAATCAGATTTCTATAATGTAAGGTGCAAAGGCAGCATCTTCATTTAAGACATGTTTTATGTAAAAGCATACTTAGTTAAGCTGAATTTTATACAAAAATATTTCCTTCCTCAGCTACAATACATAAACAAGCATTGAAATGATTCACTTTTTGCTTTTCGGCTGTGAAAGAGTACCAAAAAATGAAGTAAACAGAAGCAGTCAGCAGGGGAAAACTAGTTAAACAGAGCATAAGGTAAAATAAACAAAGAAATTTAGATGTAGCGGCCAGGGGACACAGCCAGGAGTGTGAACGCAGAGAATGGGTTTATCTCATAGTGTGTGCTGTGCGTGTGTGTGTACACCGCAGCAAATATGTTACAGTATTCCCTTGGTGAATCAAATAATCAAACGATTTACTGCCTCACCGCTCAACATCTCTACTACCACCAAAGGCAGGAAACAACAACGTATACACATTCACACGCTTGTTTTTCCAACTTGGTGATTTTGTAATTCCGTCTATAGCTCTTATACTGAGCTAATGATATTTTCTGTCCCTTAACATCTTAAATACAAAATTTCTTGCATTTTTACACTCTCATTAAGTCGTTTTTTTTCTCATGGGAACCATTGGCTGGTTAGATCAGGTTGTACTTTTTTTATCCGCACCTATGTGTGTACAAGGGCTGTCACGAAATCAGATTTTTCAAAAAAGAAAAATCACGAAATATCGTGATATATTGATATAACCTGGTATAAATATAATATATTGGTATATCGAAATATTGAAAAAACAAATAATGCTATCAGTCAAATTCATCTTTACTTTTTTTAAGAAGTAGAAAAGAAGAATCACACCAAAAAAAAAAAAAACTTTTGCTGATAATTTACTCGCCCCCATGTCATCCAAGATGTCCATGTCATTTTAAGTTTTAAAAGCCTAAATTCAATCTGTTCATCATTTTGGACTTAACCATTCAATTCATATGGACTCATTTTTACAATCTCTTTATGAACTTTTTGAAGCGTAGAAGAGACAGAGGGACAGAAAGCTCTCAGGATTTATCAAAAAGACCTTCATTTGATTTGTGTTCCTAAGATGAATGAAAGTTTTACGTGTTTGGACCGACATGACATGAGAGTGAGAAATTAAAGACAGAATTTTCATTTTTGCCTGGACTATCCCTTTAAGTACAGTAACTAAAAACATTAACTCAAATACTGTACACCAATGTGCGCCCAATTATTGAAAGAGAACTAATTTAGACAAAACCTGACCCCTTTAACCACATGCACATCTGGTCCCCAAACACGTCTAGTAATATGGCACAGAAAACTCCATTATGCAAATCACTTCAATAGTAAGCAATGATTATACAGGAAATTTATGCAACAGGAACACACTGTCTCGCAAGACCAAAAAGGTTATTCTAATGCCTAGCCTGGGGGTCCCTGCACACATTTATCTTACTGTCCCACCACAAAGAGAGAAAAATATCTCTCTTCTACTTATCTGATCTCTCACCCCACAATATATTTCTTTAGAGATAAGAGAAACTAGCAGCCAGCCAGAGGAAAGAGAGAGTAACCCATCATAAAGTAAATCACAGCCTGTATAAAATAAGAAAGATGCTTTGGTTGGTTGGTGGAGTTGGGTTATTGTATTTTATTTTATTTTATTTAATGTTCTGGAAGATGCTTTAAAATAAGAAAGTTGTATTAATTATTTGGGCTCGGTCAGCTCCTGAATCTAGTCTCAATGTAAGACAACAGATTCTTCAGTTGTCTTTCATATTGCACCCTTTTCCCTAGAAGGAACGTGGGGTCCACAACTCAATGGGGTCCACAACAGCACTGTACAAAAGGACAAAAACAGTTATATTGAAAAATATTCGTATGTATTGCCAAATCAAACGGGTTTGGAACAAATGAGTAAATGACGACTTTTTTTTTCATTTTTGTGTGAACTATCCCTTTAGGTGTTTGAATATGGATATCAATAGGCAGATATGCCAGGTTTGGATCTGGATTGAACACACTCACACACAGAAGGATTAAACTGCATCCATGAAATGTTAAATGTCTGTGCAGTGATCTCTATTACACTTCAAGAGATTTGTAGAAAAGCACTTTGCAGTCTGTCAATGGCCAGAATTGTGTGCAACAGGCCCCTTTAACTTCCTTTCCTCTGCCTTCTTTTCTGTCTTTTTCCACAGAGAGCTCAAGGTGACATGTCTTTATAAACACTGACCTTTTTTAATATTCTAGAGTGCTGGGACTGAAGCTGGACATTGAGCAAGAGAGTCTTTAATTAAAAGAAGTCTCAGATTCTGTAACACCTTTAAAGCTTCAAACCTTATAAAAAACAGGATTGGGTGTCATTCAGAATTGAATTGAACTGAAAATGTCTTTTAAATTCTGAGTTCTGGTCTGAATTGGAATAAGAAAGTAGAATTAAAAAAGAATATATTTTTTTTAAAAGCCAATGGAAATACACTGTTAAACATTTGAGTCAGGAAGATCTTTTTTGTAACACTTTACTTGAAGGGGTGTGCATAAGACTAACACGACACCTTCGTAATCATGACATTACATATATTATGAATATGAAGGAAGTTTTATGCATGTTTGTGACAACTGTCATTAAGTGTCATTCGCTCAGTTATGACATTTTTAATGCAAATATGATATTGTTTGAGATGTCTTTGTCATGACACCTTGACATAAACCAATATCAACCTGTCTGTCAGTATCTTTGTCATGACAATATGACATTACTAAGACAACACAACCTATCATAAACATGACATAGCAGATTAATGATCAAACTTAAGAAACCACCTAGCTTTATTGGTTAACATTACATTAAACTGTCAGGTGGTTGGTTTTGTCATTGGCTGTCATGAAGCCATTATAACTTTAATGACGAATTCAATGTGAAAAATTACTTTTAAATTTCTTAAGATTTATACATGCTAGTTTCCATGACAGAAATGAAGATAAATCTATTACTACTGCAGCTGCCAGTTTGCTAAGTTTCAACTGATGATTAAACGCCA